TTATCCTGGTAAATTATTTTCACTGATAAAATATTATTCACAGTATAAAACTTTTAATGAAATCTCAGTATGTCAGGTGAATGACAATGTCATTTTAGACGATCATCCGATAGACCAACAACAACAACAACAACAACTGCAACAACAACAACATTCACAAGATGGAAATAATTTAATTAAAATATGCTTATCACGACCGATAAGACCAGACAAGGTGAATTCTTGTCATATTCAGAAATTTGAAGCTGATCTAATCGATAAAACAGATATGACTGATAAAATGGAGGTGATATCACTAATGAGTGATCTGGAAACCAATCCAAGGTGAGTGTGTGATGGATGGTGTGATACAGACAACAGAGTGTGAGTGTGTTTCAATGGAATATTATTTTCTCATATTATTATTATTGTTTCCTTTAATTCCTACAGAAACATAGGGCTTCAGCCGTGCGTCTCCATTGCGTTCACTTCTCTGCTAGAGTCTTCACCTAGCTCCATGTCTGCCCACACGTCTTCATCTCCTCTTCACATGACCTACTCCAAGTCATCTTTGCATTGACGACCAACTCGCCACTTCCCTTTCGGCCGGGTTCCACTCGAGCAATGGCTTGTCTAGTGATGTCACTTGATGGTTTCCTCAGAGTATGGCCAGCCAATCCATCTCCATTTCTTCCTGCCTACTTGTTTCATAATCGGTTCCTGGTTGGTTCTCTCATTGCCAGAGATCTCTGTTGCTGATCTTTCCTAGCCATCTGATCTTGAGTATTGAGCAAAGACAACTGTTAATGAAGGTGTGTAGTTTGTTTGAGATGCTCTTTATGACGCGCAGTGCAAGTCTCTGATCCGTATAGTGAGTAGCAATGACTTCACATTGAAGTTGAAAATCCGGATCTTATTTTTGATGGTGAGTGCTGTTGACCTCCACACAGACTTGAGAGTAATGAAAGCTTGTCTTGCTTTTCCGATTCTTGCTTTGATATTCTCGTCAGTTCCGTGTGCCTGTAGTTGAAACGATGCTTCCCAGGTAGGTAGGTAGGTAAAGGAGGTTGTTTCTTTCAGGTTCCTCCCATTTATGCTGATTGTTGTCTGTTGTTGTTGCTGTTGGTGGTGTTGCCCGGGAATCTTCATCACCTCTGTCTTCTCTATGTTCACCTGAAGTCCTTCCTATCTTCGCTGGATGCTTCTTCTGCCAACTTGTTGTTTTTCGCTTGCATATCTTCCAGTTTGTGGGAAATCAGACATATATGATCATCGGCAAAGTCCAGATCCTCCATGTCTGTTTTGTGTGAGTCCATTTTATGCCTGTTTCCTCATTTCCCGCTGTTTGTCGCATTATCCAATCTACTGCAATCAAGAAAATCATTGACGATAGTCGGCAGCCTTGTCTTACTCCTGACCTCACTTCGAAGGATTCCGTAAGTTTCCCATTGTGGATTACTTGGCATGCAACATTTCTCATATATATATGAATAAGGCATTAAGAAGACAAATTTTGCGAGATGATATCGTCATTTCGTAGTTCCTTTACAACCGCTTTACAACTAACATGGTTCACCACAATAATAGAATAAAATAAAGATCATAACAATTACTCAGTTAAATAAAAAAAAGAACATACTCATGACCAATCGTATTAAGATAGGTCATGTAGTCCATAGTAGGCGAAGATTGAAGTCCATTTTTTGCTTTTTGTACACACAGTTTAGGCTGTATGTGATCAATCCCCAAAGTGATTCCATCACCTTCAATAACCTATCTTTATTAAACTACCATTCACGGGTGACCAGATTATGCAGTTGACAGCTAACTCAAAGACTTCGGTCAGCCATCAAACGCACATCCTACGCCGCCACATCTCTTTTTCTCACTTGCCGAACATTTACGATCCCTGGACATACAATTAAAGGACGAAATTCTGTGGACTCTACTTCAAACTGTATCCACAAGTTCACCTGCAGCTGCGATGACACCTATATACGTAGAACCAATGAAATGTTCCAATGTGGTCGTCGAAAAGAACATGTTCCAAAATGGTTATTAAAACATATAGAAAATCCCAATGCAATTAATCTGAGTAGAAATCCAGCATCATCATCCATTGCAAAGCACTTATTAATGTCAGGTCACAAAATCAATATTATTAATGACTGTTTCACAATAATTTCATCACATAACTCTAATTCAGGGTTGGTTATTGAAGGTGATTGAAGCACTCTGGGGATTAATCACATACAGCCTAAACTGTGTGTACAAAACATAATAGACTTCAGTCTTCGCCTACCATGGACTGACTACTTGACCTATTTAAATATAATTGGTCATGAGTATGTACTTTTGTTTTTTATATAACTGAGTAATTGTCAAGATCTTTAGCTTAATGTTGTGAACCCTGTTGGTTGTAAAGCGGTTGTAAAGAAACTATGAAATGACGATATCATCTCGCAAAATTTGTCTTCTTAACGCCTTATTCAAATTTATCAAAGGAATTAATTGTTTCAATCATATATATATTCCCACAGTTCAATACGGCATTAGCAACAGAATATTACATGCGTATATTTGAACATTCTAATTCATGTTGCTTTATGTAAAAACCGAAATCACAAGCTTAGTAATTGATTAACGAGTATAAACTGTATAGACAAATAAAAATAGCTGTTCTTCGGGACGGATTGAACTTGTTCGAGGATACTTTTGCTTAATCTAGAATTCAAAGTGGACACTAAAGCAGAAATCTTTCGTAAACTCATCTGTAAATCTCTGAGGAAGACATACTTCGCCGCTAGCCTACGATTAACGTCTTCCTGCAAGAAACTGTTCAACCAGAACGCGAAAGACAAACTGTCACATTGAGCCACTCCAACGTGCATATACCAGTTTATTGGCTCTTGCGGAGCTGAGTACATCGGCCGTACCATGCGTCAACTTAAATAAATGCGCTCGTGAACACTATCCAGTCTGGTTAGTAAAAGGAGAACGAAAACACGTGGATATATTTCAGTGACAGGACATTTGGTCAATTCAGGACCAAAATAATATACAAGATTCGATCAAACCTATCAAAGGGAATAAAATTAAGACATCTGAGCATAGCCGAGGCACTAGCCATCCAAAAACTCAAACCCAAGCTATGTGTTCAAAAGAAATACGTCCAACCCTTGTCCCTGCCGTGGCCATCATAAACAGGTTATTCTTGTAGTGACTATCCCATTGACTTTCTTAGCCAAACTTCCTGTTATTTTTAAGTTTTTTAATCCCTATTTACACTACCATATTTTCATATCCGAACTTCCTGTCTATTTTGTCATTTTATTACTTCTACATATTTAATCCCTAATTGCATAAACAATTATTCGTCACATTAGTTATGATCCCACTAGATTTTTTATCCAACCATCCTGTCTATTTTTGTTATTTCTACCTTTCTAACCACTAATTGCACAATATGTCAATCTCCTCAGTAATTATGATACTACTTTGTTTGAGTTTTATCCATCCCCCCTGTTTATTTCGGCATTTTAATTCCTAATTTTAATTTTATTAGTCTGACCCTTGAACAGAAATTATTCTGGAACTTTCCTACCCATTTATTTTAAATACACGAATGTAAAGCCTGGTTGATGATTTCGTCGAAAAGAAAATTTTCTTTGCTGCAAATGTGTATATTCCGTGATTTGATAACGATTATAAACTGTATAGATGTATATAAACAGCTGTCTGATAAATGAAAAAATGTACCTTGGCTTCCATGTCTTGCCTTACATTTGCTGTCACTGCCTGCCAACAAATGAACAGCTCATGTCCCGCAGTTCCTGAAGAAGACATATAGACAGGTCTTCTGACAGGACTTTGATGATGTTGAGCGATTGAATGGCGTTCAATATCTGTCAACAATGAGGCTGGTACTTGGAATGCTGTTGAGAGGTTGGACGACGGCAGCATATGATAGATCATGTGAAGGGAAACACCGGCCGGATGCGAGTCAGGTCTATGTGAACTGCTTCCAAGGTGAGAAGGACAAAAAGTGGTCACTGTGAAACATAGTCACGTATATGCTAACAGAAATGCAAACAAAGAGAAGCAGGTGAACGGGAGTGATCTCCGGAACTCGACACAGCAAGACAAGCTTACAAAGCCGCCAGAACTAAGAAGATCCTACCGACTTCAGTCGAAACTTTTTGACTGGAGGACGAGTGTGGTGGTGTGATACGGACAATGTGGACGAACGGAATGTTATGCTCACATATTCCAACAGTTCACTACGGCATTAGCAACAGAATACTATGTATATTTGAACAGTTCATTTCTTGTCGTTTGGTGTAGACCGAAAACACACACGCTCAGTGATTGGTTAAAGAATATAAACTGTGCACATGTAAACAGCGGTTTTATCAATAGAAAATGTACCTTGGTTTCCGTTTCTTGCATTCTGTTGTTCCAAGTGTGGCTTTCTTGTCACATTTAACACTGACCCGTGTATCGTCAGGAAATATACAAACTGCTTAATGAATATATTAAGTTATTGAGTGTCGCTTTACAGGGATTTGATTGGTTACAGGCTCGGTCACGTGTTGACATCGATTAGACCATCCTTGGAAAACCAACAGGGAGTACTAAACTGCTGTTTTATCCTAGTTTGCCCCGCTTTATTGGGTCCCATTGGCTGATTGGTCGATAGGCTCGCATTGTAACCGGAAAGTACTAGGTTCAAGCCCCAGTGGGTGCGTACTGGTGAAGAGACTCGTACCAGGACGAAGCATGTTAGTGTTTCAAATGATAAAACTACTTTCCCTATACTTCATTAGCGTTTCCTTTCCCTGAATACTGTTAGCCTATATTAGAATTTTTGTATTCTGTTGCTGACATCGTAATAGTCATTCGCTCAGTGTGGTTGTATTTGTGGTTTGCGTGGCTGGGGTAAATTATTAATTCGCCAGTTAATAATTTGGAGAGTCCACCTGAGTGCGTACTTGACGAAGAAATTGGCTAGGGGTCGCGTTATATCATGAATTGGCCGAAGTTTTGGTTTCATGAAATTGCCATTTGATTTCGGTGCCAGTGGCTTAATGGTCTACGCGCTAGCTCACCTTGTAACCAGAAGGTCTTGAATTCAAACCGTAGCGGTGGTTGCATACTCTTGAAGAGTCCCATACTAGGACGAAACGGCTAGCTATGCAGTACTCCCAGCTGGTTTTCCGTTGGTTCCCTAGCTGAAGTCAGCTCATGGTAAAATCCTGTAACCAGTCAAAGAAGAACCCTACAAATCAATCCTTGATGAAGAAGACGTTATCGAAAATTGGGAATATTATTTGTTCACCAGTAAGTAGTCAGTCTTTTAAAATTTCCAACAGGTATCTAGAAATCAATCTTCATAATTTTCTCTTTCTTACTTTCTTTCTTGAATTCATTCAGTGAAGGCAGTTACATTCCAAGAGGTATTCGACCTAGGAAAACTATAACAATAAACAATGTGGAAACTGAACTACAAAAACAAAGATACATTCGAGCTAAATATGAACGTGATATGTTGTTGGCAACAGCAAGTCGACTTGTTCGTTGTTTTGACGCTGAATTACGTCTGTTAAGACATGCACGATTCAAATTGGATGTATTGCTGAAAAGAGCTGATCTGCATCAGTTAACGCTGTATGATGAATTTCGTTTGTTAAAAGAATTTGAAAAATCAGAACATGTTTTAACGGAGAAAAAACAGAGTCGATCAGAAGAGAAACATGAAATTAACCAAAAGGTTAGACTGGGTCGATTTTTTTCCTTGAGTTTATTTTGTTGAGTTTTGACTTCCTTTTTTCAAGTTTAATAACGGATTGATATAAGTTAGCGAACCAGGAGTGGAACGCTGTTTTGTCGTAGGTTAGGACTCGTCGGAAGTACGCACACACGGGGTTTCGAACCCAGGACCTCCCGCTTTCAAGGCAAGTTCGTGGACCATTCATCCAGTGGGATCCGCCTTGATGGCCTGTGAATTATAACTTCCTGTCACACATGCCTAAAGATAATGATCAATACTTTCGAATTTTACAGGAGATACGTCGACGACACTTTCATTATCGTCAACAATGAAGAAAATCTAGACGACATCTTAAAATTCCTTTAACAACTGCCACCTCGCGATTCAATTCACGTTAGAGAAAGAGTCTTACTCCAAAATATCCTTTCTTGACGTTCAACTAACAAGACGAGAACAAGACGGAACACTGAAAAGATTTATCTACAGAAAGTTGATGTAGAACGGACAGTTGGGTACCAAACGAAATCTGATCCGTTCACTCACCTACAGAGTTCTCAGAATCTGTACCTCGGATACCATAGAAGACGAACTGGACAATCTCAAGAGAATCCTAGTTGAGAATTGTTATCTGGAACGATTTATTGTAAAATCAATGAATCCTAGACCGCAAAAGCCGCCTACACTTAGCACGTCGGGAAAGCTCCTCTAGATTAACCTTCAATTCAATGGAGATTCATCTGCGGAAACACTGAAAAATCGACTGTTCCATCTACTTAAGACAACCTTCTTCGAAGCTGAACTACGACTAACGCTCTCCACGAAATCTATGATTTGTATGAAAGTGAAGGATAAGCTACCACTACTGGCCTCATCAGTATGTATCTGCCTATTCACCTGCTCGTGTGAAGCCAGGTATGTCGGCCGTACCTAGTGTTCGCTTTCCAAACGTATCACTGAACACTTACCAGCATGGTTTTACAAAGGAGAAAAACGATGCCCCCTCCACAACTTTATCTTAAAACATCTGTTAGATTCAGAACACTCAGCCGTACCCCAAAGAAACCTCCAACTCGTCTACAGAATACGAAGCAATCTTCCTGAAAGTGTAAGAATCAAACTTTTTCAAACTGCAGAAGCAATGGCAATTCACTGGCTAAGCCCTGAACTCTGCATACAGAAGAAGTTCGTTCAATCACTACACTTGCAATGGACGTAATCTATCTTAATACCCGATAGGTGAATTCTATTTCTTTCTTCCTGTCTCTTCAATTGCGTCTTTTCAATTTAATTTCTACACCTCATTAGCACTGTTACTGACTTGACCAACACTCAATTTCTAGTCGTTTATATTACGTCATCCAATTTATTTGCTCAATTTTAGTCCTAATTTAAATGGCATTATTCCACTGCTATTCATCATCCACCAAATAAGTCCAAGTTATTTCCTCCGATATCGTTGTAGCGTCCGAATATTTCAGTTCAATCAATCGATGGAAAATCAAAACTGAATTGTAAACAAACAATGATTGTTTCAAGTTTGAACCATTCCAAACCGACCAGGGAGTACTGGACAGTTGTTTCGTCCTACTTTGGGACTTATCATCGGCACTTACCCTTTTTGGTTGCAAACCAAAAACCTTACAGAGTTACAAGGCAAACTCATCCACCATTCAGCCAGTGTGATCCGCCTTAGTGGACAACATATGAATTCTATCTAACTTCCACCAACTCATGGTTTTTAGTACGACTGGCATCATCCAGTGTTCATCATCACTGGCGAGTAATTGTCCTCAGTCTCTCTATCACCTGATAGACCACAGTGGTCACGATATCTCTCTAGAACTCCTGACAACTTCGTCCTGTAGTCAATCACTAGCGAGCAGTCAAACGTGCAACAAACGTAGTCTCTACAAACTAACACTTAAAAATTAATCTGTACTCGCTAGTAACTGGTTACAGAACGAGTTGGCCTGGTGTTCTAGTGAGACTTTGTGACCACTGGGGTCCATCAGGTGGTAGAAAGTGTGGACGAATACTCGCGAATGACACTGGCTGGTGGTCGCCCTAAAAAAGTCCCTTATTGGTATACAGGCAGAAGTTAGAATTCATGGGCCATTGGATCGGGTCCCAGTGGTTAGTTGGCCTTGTAACCAGGAGGTCCTGGTTTCGGACGCCGATTGGTGGATGAGTGCTGATGAAGAGTCCCAATTTAGGACGAAACGGCGGTCCATTACTCCCAGGTCTTCCAATGGTTCTCTAACCAATGTCAGCTCATAATAAAATTCGGTAACAAACCAACCAGTTCCCTACAAACCAATACTTGAATATTAAATCAGCAGACAGTGGCTGAATGGTCTGTGATCTTGCCTTGAAACCGAAAGTTCCTAGGTTTGAACCCTGGGTTGGGGTGGGTACTGCCGATGAATCCCGAACTAGGACGAAACAACCGTCAAGTACTCCCTGTTGGTTTTCAGTGGCCCTCTGACTGATGTCAATCCGTGGTCAATCTTGAAATAAATCATATCCCTACAGAGAAACTCATGGAAGTTTTACGAGTTGATCACGGACTGATATCAGTTAGAGAACCATTGAAAACCAGGGAGTACTGGACAGCTGCTGTTTGGGAATCATCGGCAGTACGCACCCACTGGGATTCGAACCCAGGACCTTCCGGTTACAAGACAAGCTGGCTCGTATACTATTCAGCCACTGGGACCCGTTTCAATGGCTCATGAATTCTAACTTCTACCAATTCGTGATTTTAGCGCGACCCCAACTATTGTCGTTGGTGGGAAATCCATCCACACACGTGACTTCTAATTGGACCTCACTGGTCACGACTTCTCACTAGAACTCCAGGAAGCTCCAACCTGTAGCAAGTCACTAGCGAGCATCAGAATAATTTTCTAAAGTTTGGTTTGTAAGGATTAGTTATGTTTTACGAGTTGATCACGGACTGCAGATGATTCCCAAACTAGGATGAAACAGCAGCTGTCCAGTACTCCCTGGTTTTCAATGGTTCTCTAACTGATATCAGTCCGTGATCAACTCGTAAAACATAACTAATCCTTACAAACCAAACTTTAGAAAAAAAACTCATGGAAGTAATTATTGATTTCTGATGAAATTTGTCTCTTTTGATGAATCTACGTTCTGAAAAAATTATCTTCTTATTGTTAAATGGTATCTGCTGTATATGATTTAGTACAGTTTGAATTCATAATAGACTGTTGGAGGAAAGTCGTTAGGAAACCCTATACACAGATTTTATACTTGTTGACGCTCATCTGCAAGGCGTATGTGAAACCTTAAAGAAGATATGTTCCCGGATTGGTGACGTGTCTGACTGCAGCGCTGGACGACGTGGGTTTGAATTTCACATAGAATATGAGTGCCTCTGAAGTTTCAGATTCGTCTTGCTGATAAAGGCCGAGAAGCATAAGTCTAAAACCATGGCTTCCTGGTGGTTGCCTCCAACTATTTAATATAGCAAAAATATTCATTCAGACATCTATAAAACACAAAATAATCGAGCAAAGAATATTCGTTTCGATAAATTCCTCTTCTGGCTCTACTTTTATATACATATATATGTTTATATACATAGAATATCCTAGAATAGTAGTCAGTATGTGTATTGGTGTTTTTTAAATAATATCTATTTGTAAAGTATGATCAATGCAATTACAGTTCATTAAAGATGCTTAAATTATAATAATAATAATAATAAAAATAGAATAGCAAATAGAATATCAACTAAATTAAGGGAAATTTCCACTACAAATTGAGGATTATTCGAACGTAGATGGCCGAGGTAAGGATAGTGTCTGAACTAACTTCTTTTGAATGCAACTATTTAACAGAAAATCTAGTGTTTTGGCTTTTTACGCCTAACTTAAGCGTCTGGTTTATTTAATCGACAGTTTGGAATGTCTTAAAAAAGAGCCCTTCTCCACAATCGCCAACCAGTAGCAGCTACGCTGACGTGATGGTCGGGCTTGCATATCGCAATGACCCAACAAGCAATACTGGCTGGAACTATTGTACCTGCTGGTCCTACCATACCAGGAAGGTTGTTAGAGTAGCGATTAGACTAAAAGCAGTTGCCGACATGGTGTAAGATTTTTCACACTATGCTTGGGGTCTGTGAGCAAAGTCGTACTGCCAGGGAACAGGGATGTAACAGCTGTGAGGGGATTCCCTCAGATGACCAGCATATCAGCCAGCTATGATGTCTCTCCACTCCGGAGGGAGGGGGTTAGAAAGGGCCAACCCTAAAAAATGTACATCCCAACTTACCCTACAGTGGTCCGTACCCAGCGGTAGGTTACTAATAGGGAACCAAATCAAAAAGCCATTTCAGATAGGCCTTGTGTGACCGGCCTCAAGCAGTTGTCCTCTGGGCTTTGCGGTCACGTGACGCTAATTCTCTTTATGTTCCAGTTACCCCAAGAAACAAAATCAATTTCCATGGTGTGGACAGCCAGGAAGTAACAACCGCTCACACACACTTGCAAAAGCACATCAAGCCTGGTTAGGGTTCTAGGGATGATTAAAACTAATGAAGGCTTGAGACAATTTGTGACATGGCTCAAAATCGTTCTCAATGGCACAGATGTATTCACTCCCTGTGATTTATCACATCAAATAAAATTCTATTGTTCTTTCATATAACTATTCTTTGGCCTTATATTTCTGTTTTTTATCTCTCTCTTTTGTTAAGTCCGTCTTCACTCTCTTCTCTTGCTTTGTGTGCTACATGGAGGGAGCGTTGTAACTTCAACTGTTGCACATCTGTGCAAAGTTGTTCTACGTTAAAAGCAGGCAGAAATTCTTCACTGTGCCTGTATTCGTATCTCCTATGCATCTGCGGAATATGATACCCACTACTGGGGGCCTACTTGGATCACTTAGCTATCCGAGACACAATGCATCTTATTTTCTTTAGTCCTTGTTTTCATAATCCTTCATTTATATCAGTGGGTCTACAAATGTAGTCATTCATGCATAGTGCACAGTGTTAATTGGTTTGCAGCCGTCTATCGTTGCGTATTTCTTTGGGACCGAAGAAAAATACTTTAGCGTCACATCATCTTCGGAAGATGACTGCCTTACTTGAAACCCCCATGAATGAAGAGGATATATTATGGAATAAACTAAGCTGGAAGTTGTGCATCCTGTGTAAACTTATTGTGCATAATAAAACCATTGTTATAATTATTATGATATATATCTTTTAGGTGAGTCGGTGGCTGAGCGGTTAGGACGCTCACCGACCATGCACATAGTCTGGGGTTCGATCCCCGGCCACGGACGCACTCCTTTACCTCGTTAAGCCAAAAATAATACTGGTGAAGAGGAAGGGTAGGGCATGAGGCTAGCAACCCCATCCTGTAAAATAAACACTGCTACAGAAACTTCAAGCCACTAGCTTGAAGTCACTCTGTGTTCCACTGGGGAACGTGAAGGAAAAAAATATACATGCCTTTTAACAACCTTCACTTGTTCGTTCATCTTTCCATTCATAGGTGAATGAAGTCACGGCAAAAATTGAACAGAAAAAGAAAGAATTAGAACGTCTTGCCCAACGTGAACATCAAATTCATGAAGAATTTAAAGCCAATATAAGTGATTCACATAAATTTGCTGAATTTCTTACAAAAGTATTTAAAAAACGAATTAAACGCAAAAAACAAGAAGTATTTCATTCTGGTAAGTATAAATATTTAAAAAAATTTTTTTCTGGTTTCCTCCGTCCTAGTTTGGGAATTATCATTTGTCCAGTACTCCCTGCAGGCTTTCCAATGGTTCTCTAACTGGTATCAATCCGTGGTCGAACTCCTTAAAAACAAACTTAATCCTTACATGCCAACACTATAGAAAATTTGTTAGTGTTAAATTGATATAAGAATAAAACTTGCGCACTGTAGTAGAGTAATTCTATTATGAATGAATTTTATTCTGATAAAGTAGCATAGTGTGTTATACAGAAATACTTAGTGATGACCACGTTTTGAGCACAATTTCAATACTGTCACTCATAATCATCATATCAAGCTGCTCAATCTCTTGCACGTGTTGGGCGTACATTGGATGAACAAAGGTTGAGTAATCAACCTCTCTATCTCGCTCTTCACCTACCTATATTACTTTTTAGGATTTTTACTCTGTCCAACACACACCATTGTGCCGTTGTGCGTTAATGCATGCAGAGCAATGTAGTACTGAGGTTTTTTTTATAAATTACTTATCTTTGCGGGTGGGATCAATCATCCTAACCTTAACTGGATTCTTATGTTCTGATAGTCAATCTCACTACTCCTGATCTACTAGTTTGACCTATGTTAGGTATTTTGCAAATTATATTATTTTATTTAGTTGGATCAACCTAAAAGATCCTTTAACTTACGTACAGAGCTTGTCCTACCTGAGTGAGTTTGTAGGCTTGAATGCCACCCTAATTCCTGTTTTACTGAGAATCCTACCTATGGCGGGTCTCAGATGTCCACTCCCTCCTTATGTGGTAAAACTACTGTAGATGTCTTATATTCTCTCCTTAATTATGTTATCATTATTAGTTTCACCATTATTTTGATTTTGCTTTTGACCTTTCCTGATCTTCCTAATGAATTTTATAGGACAGTTATTTGACACCAACGCTTCTTCCTATTCTATCTGTTTCATTTCATCGTTTAGGTCTTTTCTTGTACTACTTAGTGCTATGGCTCGGTTTGTTAGACACTTAACTAAGCCTCCCTTAACAGACAGATAACAGATAAGAGAAATTACAGTCTAAATAACCATTAGAATGCGTTGGTTTTTAATGACACTAGTGTGCAGTTTGCCTTCTTCTATTCGTTTTATTTTACAATCTATTATCATGGCTAATTCTCCTTGTTCATTTCCGATTCAAATGTGAATTTTATTCCCTCCACTAGTGAGTTTATATGTGTGAAGAAGCTAGAGATATGTTCTGTTTTTAACATTCTGTGTGGAAGTGTCATCCACAAATCTCCACCATACTTTTAGAGGAATAGGATTAAAATTATATTTGTAATATCTCAGAGATATTGAAATGAGTAATTCCAACGTTTCGTTCGGCAATCTGGTCCGAACTTCTTCAGGGAAATTAATCGAATTAACATAACAGAGGTTTATATATAAAAGGAACATATCTTGTTTTTTAAAAACTTTGTCCAATCATGAGTCATTCAACAAGTATCAACAAGTATAATAAACAAAATTATATGAGCTGTGATCAAAATTTGACCTCAGACTTTCAAAATTAGTCTACTTTTGCTAAAATATATGTGCATATGCAGTATAGAATGGTGTGTGTGTAGGTGTGTGGCGGGGGGGGGTGAACAGTCATAAAACATTTGTTATTCTCTCCATAAGAAGATGTAGATAATCGGGAATTTGACCAAGTATGACTAATTGTTGATACATATCCAATTTATTTATTAGTCAGGATTTGCCATGCATCAGCTAAGATCACACCTTCACGTCTGTTCAGACTGTTGGGATCCATCCATATATGTAGGGCTTCTGCAGTCAGTCTTTCTTTATATGGACCAAAACCTTTCTGTAGAACCTTAGTCCAATCAAAGTTGATTTCGTGTCGCGTTCCTATCGAATGCAGTGCAATCACTGATCTGTTTTCTAGCTTCTTCAAGTCTGCAGAGGTCTTTGAAACCACCTTTAGGCATTGTTTAAGCTCTTTTACTCTTACATTTACCTGTCTGGATGTTTCTCCTACATATACGGCGTTACAATCCCCACAATTGATCTGGTATACACAATTCTGCTGATTTTCTTGTTCTATTTTATCCTTAACCTTCATCAGTAATGAGCGTAAGGTGTTTGATGCACGAAAATACACTCTTATGTTATGATCGTTAAGGATTCCCTTCATTTCATCGAATGTTTCTTTGCGGTAAGGAATCACCACTGTACTAACCCAATTCTTAGCATCAGGTTTCGATTCATCCTTATCTTCACATTTTAAATATCTATTTATGTAGGTTTTAGGATAATTATTTGATTCAAGAGTGGATTGAACCAATTTTAATTCCTTGCTAATATCTTCCTCCTCAGTAACTATGTGTTTGGCTCTGTTAATCAAATTCTTGGCCAAAGTTACTTTGATGGTAAATGGGTGAGGTGAATGGTAATCTAGGTATCTACCCGAATTTGTCGGCTTTCTGAAAATGTTTATTTTTAAAAAAGTAGAATAATTTTGAAAGTCTGAGGTCAAATTTTGATCACACTTCATACAATTTTGTTTATGATACATGTTATTTCATGACTCATATGATTGGACAAAGTTTCAAAAGCAAGAGATGTTCCTTTTATATATAAACCTCTGTTACGTTAATTCGATCAATTTCCCTGAAGAAGTTCGGATCAGATTGCCGAACGAAACGTTGGAATTAATCATTTCAATTTCGCTGAGATTTTACAAATATAATTTTTACAAATGTCTACTTCTCACTCGGCGCTGAATTATTTTGCCACTATCCGGTCAAATCTTGATCACAGTTCATATGAATTAGGATTATATGTATTTACAGCAATATTTTCCCATCTGTCCATGAATATAATGTACAACATTGTGTGATTTATCAAAATAAAGTCTTATCCATAAATGGAATAATTAATCAGGGGGAAATGCATATCAACTTAGACAATCATTACTTAATATTTAACTCTTTGTAAGCAAACTACCATTCATTTTAAACTACTGTATGCGTAATCAGTAATTCTTCGAATAAAGTTTAAAAGAACACATCTAAACGACCTACCTTTTATTGTTTCTTATTATCACAATTCTAGACGAGTCACAATCAGAAGAGTCTTCATCGTCTGATGAATCAAGTTTTGATGAATCGGAGGATGAAAGTGGTACAGAAGACGTGGCTATCATGGATTTAGACACTTGTCCACCTGGATGTCCTGTAGAAGATTTTGAACACACGTGTTTAATAAGAGAAAAACGTTTAGATATTGAAGAAGAAATGGCTGAAGAGAAAAAAGCCTTAGAGTTGTTAAGAAAAGATTTGGAGACATTCACTAAAAAACAACGTGTCATCGAAGCAGCACTGAAACAAGCTCAAAGTGAATTAGAAGCTTTTCAGGTAATCGGAATGTGTTTCTTTTTATTCTGTTAACAATGGGTACAGTTGTTCCAAAAACCTGATTTGCTTTTGGCTTTTTACTGACTGAAATGTCTACAAATGAGCCAGTTCAATAATATACAGTTGGAAGTTAAAATTCATGGGCCATTTGATCGAGTCCCACTAGCTTAATGGCCTACGAGTTCACCTTGTAACTAGAAGGTCTTGGGTTCGAAAGCTGGCGGTGGTTGCCTGCTGATGAGGAGTCCCAAACTAGGAAGAAACAGCTGGTTTTCCAATGTTTCTCTAACTGATTTCAGCTCATGATGAAATCCTCCGACCAATGGTACTAAATAAGGTTATCATATATAGCGTACAGCAATACAGTGTACTGAAAATTAGATGCCTTTTATTCAGCACGGTTTATCGTTCATAAACGTGGTATTATCTCGTCTAATACCCTGCCTGCGATGATTATCAGGTCAGATACATAGGTCGAAATAGTAGAACGAGGTCAATCAGACTAACAGAGCACAAAACCTAGCAAAATCTTGATTAGTTGACCCGAATAAGATGAGAAATCTAGAGAATAGTTCAGTTACAGCACTCACTGACTGACTGACTGGTTTCAACATAGAACTTTGCACAGGTGTGCGGCGGTCCAAGTCACCACACTCCATGTAGAACACAAAGCAAGACAAGAAAGTAAGGAGAAATGCAAAATAGGCACAGCTAACAGAGATATGAGACAAAAAGAATGGTAATGTGGAAGAACAATACAGTTTTATTGGATTTTCTGAGTCACATGGAGTGGATGCATCTGCACCAGCCATTGAGAACGGTTTTGACCTATATCACCAATTTTCTCCAGCCATTAGTGTTTACCGTCCCGAGGACTCCAACCAGGAAGTCTACATCTTCCCACGTGGCTTAATCTAACTGTTTTGGATTTCATTGACTGATGAAGCCATGTTTTGGTTTGACCACCACTGGCAAACTGATACTTTTTGAGCGATTCTATTACATAGATGCAATTACCGTTTAATTCCATATAATAAGGGAGGAAATTAAAGATGACAATAATTTTTACCCTGATATGAAAGTTCGAAGGTTTGAATATTAACTACAAGGAGCTTAGAAACAAAATTACGCTTTATATAAGATAGTAGTCATAGTAATAATATGTAAAATCGAAGTCGGGAACACACTGCATTTCTTAGATTTTTATTTATAGTGTAAATGACTCTCATTGATGAGTCAGTTGAGATGCCGTTGTAACGATAGAAGACAAGGGCCAGGCAACAGACAGTTTATTGAGAAAATCAACAGATATTTATAGATTTTTATTTACATTATAATTAGCGTTATTGTTAGCAGAAAAGCAACGTCTTCTGATTGGTTGTTTTCTTGCTCAAGGTTATTCTATACTACTTGTGACCGTTTCTTAGAAATTTAAGTCTACTGTGATCGGTTGTTGAGTTCCTCCAGGTTAGGCTTTGTCCTTGTTTTTTCTCATGACCCCGATTCTCGACGTGAAGATTGACGTAAATTGTTGTCCACAATTTTGGCTTGCAGACAGCTCTTACCACACCGTGACAGGTGTTGACGAGGTGTTCACTTATAGCCTCCTCTTTGCAACCATAATGATAAATATACTCTAACATGTTTTGAAAGGGTCTGCACTAAACGAGTTTTGTACCCAGCCCTTTATGAGCAAGCGAACTGATATATACGGATTGCAATGGTCATATAGAGAAGTTTATCTTTCACATTAGTCAGAAACAATGGTTGTCTACAGAATATCACCTTTAGTGTTGCTAGAGATTCTCCTCTCCTCTGAAGCTAAGTCTCCTTGTAGTCCAGATTCCAATATAGTGTTTTCTTTGGTACTGAAAGGCATTCTCCTCTTTTTAGCTTTGGTTTCATGTTCTTCTCCACAAAAACTTGTCAGGTTTCTATTTTGAATCAGGTTATTTTTTGAAGAATAAGATCTCTACCTCTGAGCAATCACTACTACAAATTCTACCGATGCCGAAGGCCAGTGAGATGATGAGAGCTCTTTTTTGACTGACAGGTATCCAACCATAGAAGTTTCTAATTTGGTCGTTCTATGATGGTTTTCTACGGATAAATCTACAATGCCCTACTGTATGATTATATGCAAGTGAACGGAATGCATTGGTTGAGCGTTATTCTAGGTCATTTAACTTAACAGTGTCAATCACTTTAGGTATAGCCTAATTCTTATATTCCAATAATCCAGTTTACTCTGATCTACTGGTTTGACCTAAGTAATTGACCTCAAAGTCATTAAATGGTATTTAGTAAATTATTATTATTATGTTTCTTAATTGTATCTATCGATCGTTAAGTCAAATAAAGTTTATCTGTGAATGACTTGGTTGGTTTAAATGCCATCCTAGCTAATTCCAACCTCATAAAGTGCCCTACTTCGGGGCTTCTGTTGTTCTTCCTTATATATCAGTACTAAGGAGGCTTTCCTGATTGCAGTAGATTGGATAATGCGACGAACAGCGGGCATCGAGGAAACAGGCATAAAATGGACTCACACAAAAAGAGACTTGGAGGATCTGGACTTCGACGATGATATATGTCTGATTTCCAACAAACTGGAAGATATGCAAGCGAAAAGCAACAAGTTGGCAGAAGAAGCATCCAGAGAAGATAGGACTTCAGGTGAACATAGATAAAACAGATGTGGTGATGAAGATTCCTGGGCAACACCACCGACAGCAACAATAAAAACAGACAACAATCAGCATAAATGGAAGGAACCTGAAAGAAACAACCTCCTTCACCAACCGACCCGGGAAGCATCGTTTGAAATACAGGCGGATGGAACTGACGAGGATATCAAAGCAAGAATCGGAAAAGCACGACAAGCTTTCACTACTCTCAAGTCTGTGAGGAGGTCAACAGCACTCCTCGGCATCAAAAATAAGATCCGGATTTTCAACTCCGATGTGAAGTCAGTGCTCCTATACCCATCAGAGACTTGGCGCGTCATAAAGAGCAGCTCAAATAAACTACAGACCTTCATTAACAGTTGTTTTCGCTCAATACTACTCAAGATCACATTACCGGCTAGAAAAGATCAGCAACAGAGATATCTGGCAATGAGCGAACCAAGTAGGAACCGATTGTGAAACAAATAGGCAGGAAGAAATGGAGATGGATTGGCTGGCCATACTCTGAGGAAACCATCTCGTGACATCACTAGACAAGCCACTGCTCGAGTGGAACCCCAAAGGGAAGCGGCGAGTTGGTCGTCAATGCAAGTGTGACTTGGAGAATGTGATGTGAAGAGGAGATGAAAACGTGTGGGCAGACATGGAGCCAGGTGAAGACTGTAGCAGAGAACCGAACGCAATGGAGACATGTGGGGCTGAAGCCCTATATTCCTCTAGGAATTAAAGGAAATAATAATACTGAGGAGGCTTTACAGCAATGCATTCACTTCCATATAATCACATAATAGCGTAGGACGGAATGAAAATATTAAGAAGTAATACGGTTAAGTAATATAGAGAAGTTAGCCACTGAATAATTGTTCGTTATCGTGAACTGATATCAGTTAGAGAACCATTGGAAAACCATCACCAGAGAGTACTGGACAGCTGCTTCGTAATAGTTTGGCACTTTCCAGCAGTACGCATCCACCACAGGAGATTCGAACCCAGGAGCTTCTGGTTACAAAGCCAGAGAGAGCTCGTAGACCATTCAGAAGCCACTGGGAACCGCCAATCCAATGGCTAATCCGTGAATACTAACTTCTGCCAATTCAAGACATAGTACGACCACTTCGCAATGTCTTCTTCGATGAGTTACTGCCTCAACTTCAAACTGCTGCACCTTACTGGTCACAGCTTCCCATTAGAACCTCAGTCGCTATTGCACATCAGATCAATTTTCATTTCGTGGAAAATTCCCATTGGAACATTAGATTGAGAAGAACAAGAAGTTCAGCAAAGACAACTGTCTTTTCGGCGATTTCATTCTCAAGAGCTGTACAATCGCATTTATATAGATAAGTTTGCATGGATACAATTATTATTTATTTATTTCCACATAGTAACGAAGGAGATAATAATTTTCAACTTGATATGAAAGTTTGAAGGTACGAATATAGATTACAAGGGGCTTAGAGACAAGATTGGCTAGGATTAGATGACAGTTACAACGTATGCAAAATTAATATTTGATAACTGGAGAAATAGTTTTCAAGGCGAATAAAAGGTGATAATTGACTTGAAATGTAAGTCAGGAGGTGTGAATATAGATTACAAGAGGCATAGAAACAAAAATTACACACGATTAGAATAAAATTGTAAAATGGTTATTCTAAACGGATTACAAGTGTGATCAGGTGGAGCATGGAAACAAACTTAAAATAACTGATTTTATAACTGAAAAAATAGGATGAATTGAATGAAGGTAAAGAGAGGAAATTACACACACAGATAACAAAAAAAAACTGAAGGATAAGGGAACATACCGAACTAGCTCCATGGCAGTTGTAAAGGCTGGACTAGTTTCTTTTGAACACAAAGCTCCGGCTTTTCGATGCATATGGCGAGAGCTTCCGCAGTACAAAGAAGCCGGAGGCTTGAAAACTATTTCTCCAGTTATCAAGTATTAATTTTGCATACGTTGTAATTGTTATCTAATCCTAGCCAATCTTGTCTCTAAGCCCTTTGTAATTTATATTCGTACCTTCAAACTTTCATTTCAAGTTGAAAATTATTATCACCTTCGTTACTATGTGCAATTAAACGAATAAGAATTGCATCCATGTAAACTTATCTATATAAATGCGATTGTACAGCTCTTGAGAATGAAGTCGCCGAAAAGACAGATATCTTTGCTGAACTTCTTGTTCTTCTCAATTTTCATTTATTGGTTTTGTAGGAATTTTGTTTGATTCGTTCGAGGATTTCATCATGAGCTGCCATCAGTTAGAGAACCATTGGAAAACTATCTGGGAGTAGTGAACAACCGTTTCGTCAACCTAGTTTGGGGCTCTTCATCAGTACGCACCCAAGACTTTCTGGTTCTGATTCTGTCAACGCAATTATAATTTGCACTTAATAGTGTTCTCTGAGCCAGTTGGTTTAGTTGTGGAGCTTTCATCGTCCTTCTGGACAAAATCCCCCTTCAGCGCAATATTTAGCATAAAGTGAAATGATTTAAATTTCTTCATGAGTGATAGGTATAATTGCGTCTCCTGGTGACCATATTTACATATGTATTGACCATTCTCTATTGACTTGGTTTTTAAACTTCCTAGTCACCTGATTTACTTTTTATTAGTTGGTATATTTCGTCTATGCAATTAACGTGTTTGTTAATTGCATTTTCGTTTGAGTACCAGGCTTCTAGGAATTCCCTGACTGCATTACTGTCTGGTGTTTCCCCTGTCTAAGATTTTGACATTATCCCAATCATCAAATTGATGTCCATAATTGTCTATATGCATTGATACTAAAGAATACATATCGTGTCTTTTCACGGTTGATTTGTGTTGTTGGATTCTAATTCGAAAGGGACGCCCACTTTGGCCGATGTAATGTCTGTTACAGTTCATACATACAATTTATTTTGTAAACGGTATTAATTCTATCCCCTTTTTCTGTTGGATCTTTTGGTTTGCATATTATCGAATTAATCTCTCATTGTGTAACATATTTCTTTCTTTCCTCCTTTTTATTGTTTCAGTTAGAGAAACAACGTAAATTAAATGAATTAGAAATTATTGTCATTCTTCGATTAGATCAAATTCATCACTATACGAATTATTCTGTACCATCTGATATGACTGGTAGTCTGATATTTCTACGGCATACTTTACATGCCCTGCGTAGACGTATAAAAGAGTTAGAAGAAGAGAAGAAACATCAGCGGGTTGAAAGAAAACAGGCGAAAGCTCGACATGCAATGCTACAAAAACATAAAAGACTATTTCAGGTAAGTTCTTCCTGGGGATATCATTTTCGCCTGGATAATTTAAGCGTTACTCTGTTTTGGATGGATTATATTGTCAGTTTTCACTACTATTATATTTCAATGTTAACATGAAGTTTTTTATTTATTTAAACGCAGAAAAAAATTGGTACAATATGGCACCAAGAAACATGCGCCACACAATAATAATAAAACAACATAGATTAAAAGTAACAATATAAGTAGAAAACGGATAAAGAACTTCATCTGGAAGGAAAGCAGTCATGTTTAACAGTTTCAAACAGTATTCGTTAACTATCATCAGGAAGGGAAGAAAGAAGGAAATTGCAACATGTTCGCCAGTGATTACAATTATTGGCGATATCCGATAGTGTTTCGAACCATCAATTTGAGCTACCTCGCGGACCCCAACCAGGGAGTCGTGACGCACCAACCGAGGCTAATCTAGCACAAATATCCTTCATCCCACGACGCCACGTCA